GAACCCCTAGGGCCCCGAACGTCGAGGTCAATGTACCACAGGTCGTTCTCGTACATATCTCAGCAGACTTCCCGCCCAATAGTCAGCTACAGGTTGGGGGTGTGAGGGGGATTTGGGTACCGGTACCCTAAACCCTAAACCCTGAACCCTAAGCCCTAAACCCGAAACCCTCAACCCTCACCCTCAACAGCCCAAATCTCATGCTCTTCGCGAGTTGCATACTGAACCCAGGGAAGGAAGAACGATGACAATCCTTTGGGGAGACTTCGAAGCCCGTGCTCCGGAACCCTACCCTAAACTGCCCTAAATCCAACTTGGAAGCACTTTTGCCTTCGTGAGAAGGGTTAGTAAGGTGGGCTATGGGGGAGTATTATCGGGTTTCTAAGGGATGCGAAGTAGACCTAACGAAGTTAAAAAGGAGCTTCGAAGTACATGCCTGCGTGTGCCGAAGCACCCTAAACCCTAAACCCTAAACCCTAAACCCTAAACCCTAAACCCTCTCGCTGAAAGCATCGGCTCCCTCAGATGCCCAGTCGGGGAGCAGGCACGTCGCGCCATCCTCCCCCCCCCCCCCCCCCCCCCCCCCCCCCCCCCCCTGCCCTTCGCGGCCGAATGCTCTTTGCTGAGGTCGCACGGTTCTTAGGGTCTAGGGCCTAGGGTTTAGGGGTCAGGGTTTAGGGCGGTTTTGGGTTTGGGGTGTAGCAGCTTTCTGAGAAGTTGCACTGCAATCTCAGCGTCAACATGCACCCTAAACCCAAAACCCTAAACCCCAAAGCCCTAAACCCTAATCCCAAAACCCTACATCCTATTCCCTAAACCCCAAACCTTAACCACCCCAAGAAAGAGGCGAAATGTTTGACAAGTAGCGCCTTCTTTGCTCCCGAGATCTTTTCGGGGTACAGGTTGGGGGGGGGAGGGGGTTAGGGTTTAGGGGGGGGGGGGGGGTTAGGGTTTAGGGGGGATGGGGGAGGGGGGGGGGTGGGGGGTGGGGAAGATCCGATTGCGAAAGCTGCGTGTGTCCGAGGCTGCTGCTTATATCGCTGTAGCCGCCAAACATCCTTAGCAATGGGGTCCAGGGTTAGGGTTTTACAGGAAGGTTCGGGTTTTAAGGGTTGTAAGGGATTTTAGGGCTTTGAGGGTTTTGGGGCTAGCCCTAAACTTAAAAGTTTCTATCGCGCCGCACCCCTTTCGGTAGTTTTAGATGTTGCGGCCCCTTAAGTTTTGGAGCCAAGCACGACGACGTGTATCTTCTAACCACCCTTAACTTGAGGCCCTCAACCCTGAACCATAAATCGGCATCCCGAAAGTATGAGCAAACACCAACACAGCGGGTGCAGAACCCTCGATCAGGATTCAGCCCATGGTCTCCTAGGGAGGGTTCAAGGCTTAGGAACACACAGAACCCGGAGGATTTAGATTCTACAAGTGCTTGGAGGTTCAGGGTACTTATAACCCAATCATAATTGTAGTTATAGGCCACTTCTAAGCCCCTTAAGTACCCTACTGGGGTTACAATTGGGTTGTAAGAACAGTTATAACTGGGTTACTAAGTACCCCGAACCTCCAGGCACCCCGGACAAGACCTTAGAAGTTTGCCAGGGTACGGCTCCGGGATGAAGCTATTTGTCGATTTCCTAACAGCCCTCAAAGCCTAACCCCCTAAACCCTAAACCCTAAACCCTAAACCCTAAACCCTAAACCCTAAACCCTAAACCCTTTAGGGTGCAGGACTGAGGGTCGATGGCTTTGCCTGGAAGCCCTTGCTGACCTAGTACGTAGGGTTTAGGGTTTAGGGTTTAGGGTTTAGGGTTTAGGGTTTAGGGTTTAGGGTTTAGGGTTTAGGGTTTAGGGTTTAGGGTTTAGGGTTTAGGGTTTAGGGTTTTGGGTTTAGGGCTTAGGGCTTAGGGCTTAGGGTTTAGGATTTAGGGTTTAGGGCTTGACCCAGTACGTAGGGTTAGCAAGGTGGGTTGTGGGAATTCTAATAGGCTTTCTTAGGGCTACTATGTAGACTTGCTAGGTCAACAGAGCTTCTAAGCAGGGGCTTAGGGTGAAGGGGCTTTGGGCGTGTGTTGAAAAGGCATGTTCAAGACGAGGCTCCACATCCGGTTGGTCGTCTTGTTCAAGACCTTGGCGCAAGAAGCACTCGACCCTTTAGAACTGCAGGGTGGCGTGGGTGGGGGGGGGGGGGGGGACAGGATACTGTAGGTGTTTAGGGGTTTATATGGGGGTGTAGGGTTTTAGGTTTTACGTTTGGGGTTTAGGGTTCCCCCCCCCCCCCCCTCCACCAACTTTCCAACTTTGATGAGTTGTTCGAATTGAGGTCTCTCCCCTCGTTGGTCATCTGTGGGTTGGGGGCCCTATAGGACTGCCCATGACCGTAAACCCCAAACCCAAAACTGTAAACCGTAAACCCCTACAGGAAACCCTAGCATGAATGCAAGGCCCGACGCAGCCAAAGCAGTCCACGGTGTGGTCAGATTGAGAGCGGTCTGGGCCGTGT